ACATGTGGGACCCGCCGATGGTAAATGCTTTTTGCAAATATATTGAATCCAGGGAATTCCAGCGCAGTAGTTTCACTTTGGTGAACCAGGTTCTGTATTAGGACTTGCAGGAGCATACATGAACATGCACCAGTATTTGTGCACATTAGTTCATGTCTGTACTTGTGCTAAGCTTGGGCGGCTCCAAGGACGGAATGTTTTGACATGCGTGGCAAATTTTTAAAAAATTGGGCCTTGGACTCTTTAAGGATGGATACTCAACAGAAACTTCATTTATCCGTTGCCCATGAATTGAAGGCATGTGACTTAAGTGTAACCCAGTCAAGGCCTAAGTACTTATTCATGAAGTCCTAGTGACCTGGTGAACTCATTTGGGTTTTTGTTAAAAGTTCATTCATTTACTTATATTTATGAGTGGATTGTGGATCTCAGAATTTGAGTGCTGTTGGTTGAATCAAAAATATGCAGATATATGCTTTCATACATAATTCTTTTCACAGGCATAGTTTAAGGTCCAAAAGTCCCTTGTCACAGATGTAAGGTAAAATAGCTGTTATGTGCTTTTTTATAAAAGGAATAGGCATTGCATTGTGTATGAATAGATATTTTGAAATACTTGTTTTAACCAATTGTGAATTAAACCTAATGGCATTGACGTTTCTCTTTTAACCCTAACAGTCCTCAATCCTTCACCTGTTGGAGGACTGTTAGGGTTAAGGGTTGCAGGAAGACACTTGCATCATATGGTTATTCATATTAATGGGGCATACTAAAAAATATAAAACAGACACTTATTTCTGTCATTGAATAACAAAATAGTTTTTTCTGTCCCATTAAAGCCCACTTGGTCTACTTGCGTATAAGTTGTTTCATTATGATTTCTGTGCTTCATAGAGCACTGTTCCAAATTGTCAGTCCCATTTTTTTCTGCCAGTATTATGTTGCATTGGGTGCTCTCTCCTGGGTGTTCTTCGCAGTATTGTGGGAGAGAAGGCGGTGGGGGGGGTAGTGCCAGAGTGGTTTTGCTGAAGATTCCAATGTGTATTTCTGTTTGTGCCGTTCCTGTAGGAGCACCATCTACAGAGAGCTATCTCAGCGCAACAGGTGTATGGCTCAGCCAACCCACTGGTCATCCCAACACCTGACTTTGAGACCTCGGTCAGCTATTATGAGGAGCTGTATGACCCATCTTACAAGCAGCCCAAGCAATATGTCCATGTTCAGCGTAAGTTGAGATAGCAAGTTCATGTGATACTGAAGAGTTGGAAAGAAGGGTAATTTCCATCAAAATAAATTTCATTTGTATCAACAGAAAAAAACCAACTGTTATTGTTGTCACTTGTGAATTAAAGTTTGGAAGCATAATGAAGTTCTTTATTTGATCCTACCAGTTTTGGAGCATTTCTTGGAATGATTAACATCAGCTGGAAATTTCATTTTAGGCATCAAACACTGGCTGTATTATGGCTAAGGAATACTTATTCACATTAGCTTTTGACAAGTTGTATTCAAAACAGGAAAATGCACTCTTGGGTAATAAAGTAAAGAAAAATCATTAAGAAAGCATGTTATTAGCCACCATTTATGAAGCTTGTAACTATAGAAAGAGTTTTTATAATCATGCTTACATCTTCCACAACTGTGTGAACAACTCTGCAGAAATGATAAGCATGTGACTAAAGAGTTCTGTAAAAAAAAAACCGATTACAATAGGTGGCTTGTTTTCTCCTCACCTGTCTTGAGTAGCCCTTAGTATGGAACAGGACATTCCAGACTATGACATGGATGCTGATGATGAAGAATGGATGAGGAAACACCGCAAGACCTTTGAAATCACAGAACTCCAGTTTGAAGAGATGATGGACAGACTAGAGAAGGGGAGTGGCCAGAGGGTATGAATATGCATAAGGCTTTATTTAACCCTCCTTTAGTTGAATCAGTCACAGACAGTCAAATATTCAATTTACTTCTCTCGCAACACTTCATAGACAGGCCAGTCAGTAATAGATCATACACTGTAGTTCTGGTTGGTGACGTGATCAGTCGGATTTAGTCAACAAACAAAACTGGCATATCATTGAACAGTCAGGACACCCCAGCAGTATTCCAATTGCTTGGTGTTAGTATCTATTCAATTTGTTTGCGCTTGTAAAGAATCGTTTATTGTACACATACTGGTGGAAAATAAATGAAACGGCACAAAGTCAATATTTATTTTTGTCCACAGCCCTTTTCAATGCGGTGATATGAACACTTGCAATTTTCTGGGTTTTTTTTCCACAGCCATCCAAACAAGCCCTGAAAAGATTTTTGTTTTCCCTTTTCCTGTAACTGGCTACAGTGTGATGGGACGCATATGGCTGTCGCTCTCCCTTGCCAAATTAACAGCCTCTGCTAAATGAACAACGTCTCCTGTGGAATTGCCTGTCATTCTTTCCTTGTAATTTTCAGGTGGTGACGTTGAAAGAGGCTAAGCTTCTGTTGAAGGAGGACGATGACCTCATCATAGCAGTGTATGACTACTGGCTCAACAAACGTCTCAAGTCAATGACTGTGAGTATTGTGCTCTGCTGAAATCAGGTTGTAGTCAATGAACACATCTACCCATGTAGAATGTTTCTGTTCAGATGTTAGAGCCTAGTTGAAGTGATGGCATACTTAACGCCAGTCCCTTCATCGTGCCGTGTGTGTCAAGTTGCTTAGACCTTATGTTGGTGAGCAACTCCACAATCCAAGAAAGTCCAAGCTTGTTTTCAGGTGAGCAAATGGTGCCTTTCTGCTCACTACATTTGAAATGTTTTCACATCAGCTGACTAGCAAAACATTTTTAAAGGAGTTGAGTGAAGTTGTCTGACCAAAAACAAAGGAAACGCATTATACAGAGTATCACATATCACATGTTCATCTGATCTGAGAATTGAACCTTTACAAAAATGACAAAATTCTCATGACCACGTGGTAACGTTTTCTATTGCTTAGCAGAGCCGCGGATTGATTCCAAGCGTGAGGCAAGAAAAGCGAATTGAACCTTTTACAAAAACGATAAAATTCTCATGACCACATGGTGACCTTTTTTGTTGCTTAGCAGGGTTGCGGGTTGATTCCAAGCGTGAGGCAAGAGAAGCGGGATGGGTCCACTAGCAACAATCCCTATGTTGCCTTCAGGAGGAGGACAGAGAAGATGCAGACAAGAAAGAACAGAAAGAACGATGAAGCCTCCTACGAGAAGATGCTGAAGCTGAGGAGGGACCTTAACAGGGCAGTGTGGGTATCCCTGAACTGTTTGGTTATTCCAAGGTTGAATTCTGCTTTGAATGTTCTAATCTCAAACTCAACGTTTCGCTTACCTTGTCCGTAAGCAATTGGAGATTCTGATTAATCTGGGTAGATCGATAGTACAATAATGAAACTGTTCAACTGGACTTACGTGGGGAGAAAAAGCAAGGAGAGAATCTCACAACTCATCTGAGGTGCCTTTTCAGCTCTGAGTGGCTGGCAGCGATCGGATGGAGAGGCTCTATCAATGTCTCTATTGTTGCCAGGTTGTTGAGGAATCTTCCGAATGACCGGATTTATAAGCCGGTGAAAGGTTGTGCCGCCGTCGTCCTCCCCTATTAAGGGAAGGGCAACGTTAGAGGCATTTGTACCAGATTGCCTGCCAGCCAGTCAGTGCTGACGAAGCGACTCGGATGAGTCGCGAAACGTTCTCCGTGGTTTTTTTTCCCACACAAGTCCTGCTGACCCGTTTTGTTATTGCACTCCTATCGGCCGTGTCCGTGTTCTGAATACCCAGTTATTCCTTGTGCTGAGGAAGAAATCAATCAAGCATATAATTATGATCACGTGAACTCAAGCTTAATTGAAAAGGATAGCTCATGATAGCTACATGTTTCTCAACAGAACGTTACTAGAAATGGTGAAAAGAAGAGAAAAGAGCAAGAAGGAAGCTGTCCACTTAACGTTGGAGATATTTGAAAAGAGGTAAGTTACTGAGTAGTGTCAGAAAATGCCAAAGAAAGCACTGATCACAGTTTTACTTCTCATATTCTTAAGGTACAAATGTTATGGCATTTTTACTTTGACAAATCACAGACAACAGGCAAATCACTTGATTAGCCTCTCCCTAGAGGCAAGTCAAGTTCAAGTAACATCTGGTATACTTTTCAAATGTTTGGCACAGTTAACTTTGAAACTTTAAGAGAGATTTTTATGTGGCATTCTGCAATATCTCTGGTGTTGCAACCATCAAAGGTCCTATAGTCATGAAGGAGAGGCCCAGCCTGAATACCGGGTCGACGAGAATGACAGAATGATGCCAGACCATTCCAGAGCTAGAGATTTCTGGTTTTCAAGCAGGCCTCAAATCACCGGATATAAACCAATACCTTGTTTTAGCCAGACATCATACCAGAAGATTATCAGAAGTTAGGGTTTGTTAGTAGGTCTTGGTACATTCTCTCCAAACTATTATCAGGTATCAAATGGAGGACTTCAGTGGCACCATTCTAGCTGAGTGTGAGGAGCTGAGTAAGCGACAGCCATCTTTCACCATCCCTGCAATTCCCAACGGCAACCAGTATGCCCCATGGTCCATGAAAACGGTAAGGTGCAGTCGGGCAGGGACTTCTCAGTTGGGTTGAAAGCTATTTTGTACTCTGTCACATTTGCCAAATATCCTGCAGTATCAGTGAAAGAACTTTTCAAAGCGAGGAGTGTACCTTGTTGATAACACCACAATTGTGGTACAGCTTTTGTCAGTGGGAGCAGGCAGTTTTCAGAACAATCTCAGGCTGAAGTAGGCGCTTTATTCCTCGTGTGCATTTTATCACTTGGACAGCAGGCTTCTCAAATGGGAACTCCCAAGTGTCGGACTATTCCCACTTGGTGTTATCGGGCTTTTTTATTTGGTGACAACTTTTCCTTGTGGAAATACTTGATGTTATCAGGCAGCTCTCAGTCGGAAAAATATAATTTCCAAAAGTTCTTAGTGGGAAGCCTTCAAAGATATCAGGGGGTTCCCATTGGAGAATGACATATTTCTTCTGTACAGAAGATTTAGTTTTGTGATGCCATCTTTGATGGCTTGAAGTAAGGAAGTTTTAGTTAAAACCAAGGAAGATACACTTGAATTACAGTTAAATACAATGTTCCCAAGAATTCCAGTTGTTAAGTTTTGTTTTGCTCTTTTCATTAATCAGCGTTAATCCCATAAGTCACCTTGAGGCCTATACCTACAATGTCAAATTGTTTGAAAAGTTGATGACATCCATAGATGGGTTGCTAACCTCACAAACATCTGTTATGTGTTCGTCCCTTCCCCTTACTTCTTGAACAATTCCAGGAGGATGGCTTGAAGAAGAAGAGGGAATACAAGAAGAGGAAGCACAAGGATGAGAAGAAACTACGCCAGACCTCAGTCTCCTCTCTTGGGGAGATTGAGCCAGCTCGCTTTCCTGATATCAGAAGCTCAGAAGAAGAGCTGTCCCCAGTAAGTTGCTGTGAAAGTGACTTTGTGTTATTGTCATTTGGGGGAATAAGTAATATTCTCCTGTGCTTAGTTTGACAGATTTTGTGATTGATAAGGCATAGCCTTTTTTGGATTATGGCTAATTGGCTGATCAAAGGGGCTTATTAATCTTTTAAGATATACTGGTTTTCACAAAATACCTACCACCTTTATATTTTTTGCTAAACTGTATTACAACTGTTCTTCCCACCCTGTGAAAGAGTTTTCATTTCTGAAACTCTTTGAGCTCTTGTGCCTCCAGAAAGAAATCCCTTATTTCAACAGAGTGATTTTCATTAGACCAAAAAATACAAGTGAATAACGATATGAAACTGCCTAACTGTTGTGAGCTATGCTTGAATTAGCGTGTCCACATATGAACAAACATTGCCACCTAGGTGCACCTCATCTCACTGTTTTGGCACAGGGTTCCCACGGCCAGGAAAAGTTAGAGAAAATTTTTCAAACACTGTGTGTAATTTTTGTTGTCAGAAATAAGTACATTAAATGCCTGATTTTATTTGCAATTTTAAAAGCCCAAACAGTCCAAGAAATTGTGTTATTGGGTCATGGATTTTCATACGTTAGTCGTGGAAAAGTCCTGGAAAAGTTATGGAATTTAATTGCCCTTTGGGTGTAGGAACCCTGTCACAGCAAAGCAAGTCTTTTTTTGACAAGCAGCCGAATCATACTTCAATGAAATTGACTGAAAACCCAACATTGGTTCCTGTTTGGATTAAAATGGAGTCATTGTGCTACAAATGAGGCATGGCTTTGCGTAACTCTGTAGGCAGCTTGTCAAAGGATGCCACGATAATCCACTTCGTGTGTTGTCTTTAATTTGTCACTCTTTAGCAGGTGCAATCAATATCAGACCATGAGGAGGAAGCTGATCCTGATGGTATCTTTGCTTTTCGTCGCAAGAAAGGCTGCCATTATGTGGCTGTAAGTTTCATTTCTTTTACATTGGCATCTTTGCTGTTCATGGACCTTGTTTTTGTTGCATTTCTTAACCCCAACCACATTCAACAATACAGTATCGTTAAGAATGTGATTCTGTGTATTTGAGATGATAGCCAGAGAATATAGGGTAGATAAGATAAGATCACATTCGTTGTCTGAGCCTGCATTGATATGGCTGGTTCTTCAAGAAGAGCTTCCACAATTTCCATGAAAATTTTCACCCCAAAAAAGTGATAGAATCTAGATCGGTACTAATAATCTCTCATATCACAATTTAATTTTCAGAAAAGAGTAAGATATGAATGCTGAGTCGTTTTATAAAAAGCCTTAATTTTGAAAGCTGAGTGGATCAACCACAAAATAGCCAATGTACATCAAATCACTGTTGCGTGCAAGGCAATTGGTAAACTGCACAAAGTTCTAATTATTGTTCTTTTTTGACTGCAATTTGGTCGGTAGCCCCATTCAGACCTTGTGCAAGGTTGGCCTTGGTCAGCAGACCCACCCAGAGGTGTCACAGACAACAGGTATCGGTACTGCTGTACCTCTCTGCGGGAGCCTAGGCGCTGCGTGGGCCTGGCCAGGAGGAGGGTCGGCAGGGGTGGAAGGTAAGCCCTTGCATTGGCCACAGTTTCGCACTGAATGGAGAAATGATTTGACGGTGCTTGACCGTCCGTCCTTTTGAACCTGTCGCAAGGATGGTCATGCAAAAGCTCTTCTCTCAGTAACTGCCCGTGTGTCGTTCTCATGATTATTCCATGCTTTTAGGTAACAGTGACTGCTTTTTTGCCTTAGCTTTTCATTGTCTTTTGTCCGCTCATTCACATTCTTACTCTATTACTGTCAGTGTGAGTCTTTACATACGTAACGTTTTGCCTGGTCTATGGAACTTTAAACTCCTACTGATCTGAAACACGGTAGTTGCGCTAATGGCATAAGAGCATTTATAAAATGCCATGCATGCCATTATACCAATTCAATTACAACAACCTTGAACTTCTCCAGGACAGTGTCACCTTAACCCCAGAGGGTTCGTGAGAAATTACTTTCAAATGGGAGGAGTCAGGACCATTAGCATGTACACATTCATTTAGAACACAGCAGGTGTGGCTCCTTGTCAGTGGATTTAGAGCCCAGGGTTTTTCTTGTCAGTGCTCAGTTTTTTGCATGAATAAAGTTGTTTCTTTGTTGTGATCATCATCCTGTCAGAAATGCTCATTTGTAGATGCTTAATTCACATAGCTAAAGGAGGATACTGTCTATTCTAATGTGGGGGAGCCCACCTCGCTAATTTTAGTGACGTCCCAGGTGAAAATTGTCACATCCAACTGTTGCAAAAAGAGAAAAAAATAACAAAAATCTTGTTTGGATTATTTCGATTGGAGAAAATGACCACAGAATACAAGAATCATCCATTGACAGGAAATGGATTGAGAGTAAATGATCGGTGAGGGCACAAAGAAAACCCCCTATTTTAGGCCCTGCCAGCATGATTGGCACGTTAACTGCAGGCAGTGTGATTTTGACGGTCGGCAGCTGGTTTGGTTTTGTACAGCTTTGGCCCCCTCATCCCCTAGTCCTGCCTTTAGATCAGTCAGAAGTGAAAGTAGAGGTTGAAATGGAAATTGATGGTTACTGCATGTTGCGAGAGGAAGGAAGCGTGGGAAGGAAGGGCAGAGGAAGATGGGATGTTGCCTCTCATTTCTTGCTGAAATGTGTGACCTTTACCCATAAAAACCAACAAAAGTATCTAGTCGTTTGTATTAACCAAAAGCCAGTGCATACAGTGGTAGTGTCATGTAATCATGCTGGATTAAGCATGGTTAATGTTTGGGCTTCAGTATCATTTCAGGTAAAAATACTGGTATTTCAAAACCTCGCAGAGTGGTGCATGTATTACTCTATCATTCTTGAATGTTTTGTTTCGGTGTATGACAAGTTAATTATTAAACCGTGTTAATATACACAGTATATATAGACCTTTTTCACCCATGTGATTGGATTGCGCTAAATGTCAACAATACAATAACAATATCGTGTGGACAGCCTTTTCTACGTTGATCGCACATATTCCTATGGGCAGCTACAACCACGTGCAAGCGTACATGCGAACGGTGCATGCTTGACTAGTTTATCTTGAATAAGTAGATTACCATCACAATACTACGCACTCGTTACCATCACAACGCATCGCAGTCCAGCACGATGGTGACATGACAGGCAAAAGGTCTGTTCATATACTGCAGATGTCAGTTTGAAAATTATTTGTTCAAGTTGGGTCTTCATCATAAGATGAAAAAACCCTTGACTTTCCCAGGAATAAGTTTTTGCACGTAGGCATGCATTACAAGTTAATAAATCCTAGCAGTCAAAACATTCAGTTTTCTTTCTACCAAACTTGTTTACTGCACTGAATGAAAATTGTTTGTAGTTGCTGTCTTGCTCGTGCAAAGCTTGCTAATTGGCTTCAGCGTCTACGGAATGACCATAGTATCTCCGTGGAGCATTGATTGGGTTGGCCACCTTTGCAAGTGGGATATACGCAGCTCATGTAGACGTCATAATTGTATTCATCAGTCTGCGTTCTTGCCACTCCCCACTCAGGATCCTTCTTGATAGAGCGTGGAGCCCCTTCCAGGATTTCAAAAGGCTAGATGATGCCTTGTCCAGTCCATCAGACCCACTAGTGTCGCCGCTCCGGTCGGCATCCGCAAGCTCATCACAGACAAGTCTTCCACTAAGTTTCCTCCTTGAAGAGATCAGGGCCAAACGAATGTAAGTCCACCTTAGGGATGCTGAATTTCCCAGTAGACACGAGGGATGGATCCTGTATTGGACCGTGTGTTACCTTCAGAACTCTTGTTTCCTTTTTAATCCCATTCAGACTGGGCTTTTCAGGAGTATATATTCACCGGGGGGGTCCTCCTAGAGCTCAGAGGTGGAATAACTTTTTAGCAACATGTCTTAGACAATTACTGTTAAGCGCTTGTTAAGTAGTGAAGTAAACAAGATTCTTCAAGGGAAGTTGTGTCATTAACAAGTAGTTTGTTGCAATTCTGAACTAGGAGAAACTTGGACAGTTCCCCTTCCACAGTATTGCATGAGATTGCTTAAAAATATACCTTCAATTGTTGATGATTACTGCCTTGATACAGGCTGCACTACAGACCAAAGACACCCCCACCAGCACCCCAGCAGCCTTCTGCAACCTCACCATCACCCACGCTGCCACAGTCTCAAGTCCTGATGGAGAACAGCCTAGACTCCTTCCTGCAGCCCAGCCGCACCATCCCAGCCATCCAGACCCCCAGCAAGCTGCCTCAGCAGATGCTCATGGAGAGCGACAGCACGGTGGACAGCGACGCAGCAGGCCCTTCTGCCTCCCAACAAACACTGCCCTCGCTGGTCTCAGGGCCAGAGCCCGACGCCGTGGCGCCGTTACTCGACTCTCAGGACTTGCAGACGCTGGAGGTGGACGTGGTCAACTCGGACAGCTCCTCGGAGTTGAACACATCCTTTGGCTCACTCCCGACATCTCGGTTCACCCTGGAGCCCAGTCGGGAGCTGAGCAAGACCAAGTCAGCCGTTGTAGAACAGTTGCCTGTCTTGGTTTCGCCATCAAGCGTTGTCGGGGTCAAGGAGAATCACAGCAGTTCTGCAGCAAATGCATTATTGAACCACAAGGCAGTCATAGAAGCTTCTACCAAAGGTATGTTGACATTGTCTTCTGTGCTAACCAGCCCTATGGACAGATGCACAATATCAGAGGCTTTTTGGCTAAGGAACATGAGAGATGGATAAGATGGGTTGCTACAAGAATGAAATTTGTCATAAGAATAAATTTTTTGTCATAGGTTTTCAAATGAATTTGATTGATTTTTGGGGGGTTGCAAAAGAAGTTGTATGGCCCATATTTCTAGTTCTTTCATCTAAATTTGAATTTATCTGCTGTACTTTTCCCTGTTGTAGTTCCCATTGGTCATTCCACGGCACCTGCCGCTACAGTACTACAGCTTAACTACCCCCTAGGAACCACCAAGATAACCACTCCCTCTACAACCACGCCCTCAACCACAATGCCCATTGTCAGCACGTCCGCTAGTGTGAATGCGATGGATGGAGTGGTCGTCACGAACTCTGTGGACGTTGTATCACCGTCGATGCTGGATGTTGGCACTGGCAGCGATGCCTTAAGGAAAGGCAGCCTGGACAGGCAGAGGACTAGATTGAACTTGGACGGGACCAGTGTGGTACCGTCCACAGCACAGAATGTTTCACTTGCTAACGCTGTGAAGAGGATGTCACAGGCCAACAATATTGATGTTATATCAAGGTAATAACCCTCGTGACTGTCACCTTGTGAACAGTGTTTGTAGTCTCAGACCAGTCATAAACGGTAGTGACAGATTTGCTGAAGGTCACATTTTGTTTGAAAACCAAGAGTATTGTCTTGGAAGCGTCCATTTTTTCACATAATTGTTATATCGCTTGTAATCATCAGGAAATGTGTCTAAGAAATGACCAAGTAATTGGAAAGTTTTCATCTAGCATGTCATCAGAGAAATAGAGTGGATTACAAGTTGAATGTGCAGTCTCTTGGACATTTATACCACTCTCTGTCAACTGCGCTGTCCTCTGCAATCGCTTCATGACCAATGTCTGGTCAGCTCAGAAGCTATTAAATCCTGCGTACCATGTGGCCAGGGATTACTCCCACATTTACGATTCTAAGCAACCTTGTCAGTGCTGCAAATCTAAAAGATTACTGATCATTTGAAGAGGATGTAGATAAGTATATCCACTGATACATCACAAAGGGAGAGAAACTCACTTCCTTGTTGCTAGTGAGAAAGAAACCTGAATGCATGATGCAACTAGTGACCTTTAGAAAGGTCAGAATGTTCAATCTAGCCTGTGGTTTCATTCTCATTCAATCTGGGATACAAGAATGATTGATGTGGTCGGGTCAATTTCATAGAGATGGCTTAAAGCGCGAGAAGACCTTGCTTGATAAATCAGGTAACCAGCCCAAACTCCATGTGATGTGTGTTGTTTTGGGATTTTATTTAGCTGTTTTTGGTGAGCATGACTATCAGAGTTTGAGCTGGTAACCTTTGTTTATTTAGCAAAGTTTTTTCCTGCTTTAAGCAAATTTTGTGCTTAAGCAGCTCTGTGAAATTGGCCCCGGATCTTAAAAGAGAATCTTGACCTGCCTGATCAATTTCAATTTGTCAGTGAGCCAGTTGCCAAGTAGAGATCACAGTCAAATAAGACGTAAAAAACCCAAGTCTTATTCTGATTTTGTAGGCATTTTTTATGCCAAACACTCACAAATCCTACAGAATCCACTATGCCAAATAACAAAACGGGTGATTCACAATAGTGCGTCTCCAAGAGTTTGCAACGCTTGGCCAACGGTTGGCCAATCACAATGCGCAAAATCTGTCGACCCTTTCCAAACGTGCATTGGGTCGAAAGATTTTGTGCATTATGATTTGCCAGTGCGTTGCAAACTCTTGGAGGCGCACTTTGTGAAATGCCCATATTGGCAATTTCTTTGAACTTGTTCTCTTTACCACTTGCTGCCTAGTGGAATTTGAAGTTGTATGACGTAAAACCGGGAGTTTTTTAAGATTGTCCGTTTTCACAATTCTTCAAAAACCATAACTTCATTTACTGGATGCTTACACCCACACGAATGACTGTCTGGTGGCTACTCTCTAACCAAACAGACAACATCTATTGATGCCCAAGTATTTCAGCCAGTCCTGCCACCTGGTAAAAAGAACCCAGATTGTGCAGTGTTACATAAGTTTCTTTGATTCCCGGCTTGTCAATATGGGCCAGATTAGCGTACAGCGGTAGGTATCGCTCATCACTGGAGAGCTTTTGTCCCCAGTGGTAATCCGTTCATGCTTAATGCCACAAACAGTGGTATAATCCTTCAAAACAATGACGGATTTCCTCCCCTATTGACAACTACAAAAATGTTAGCAGTTCCCAGCAGCTTGGTCTTTTGTTCCGAGTACAGTCTTTTGTTATAAGGCCTAGCTCTTTTGTCCCATTTTGGGCTCCCCGGTTTCCTGTATAAAGCCTATATGCCCGAAACCGGGCTCTCGGCAGTATATGGTTAATAAACATTGGGTCTAGATGTAAAGTAATTATTGGGTTTTGCTTTCCTTGAGCCTGCAATGTCTTTTCAAGTGGATGGATTTTGTACAATCTGGAAGAGTTATGGCCTTGTTTTTAGACCCATATTTCTCATTGAAGTTTGAGCACTCAGTTTGCCAACTTGACCTTTGTCACTGACCTGATCCCTTTGAAGTCCTCCCAGCATTCATGTGACTTGCCTCTTGAATTGATCATTCCACAGAGACAAGCATGAGGACTCCAACCATTCACTAGACGGCAACGCCTGCATACCCAACAACAAGTCGGTCGTCATGGAGGTCACGTGACCCACGTGGTTCCATCCCTATTGACGCTAACTTGGATATGAAAATGCCTTGGGCAGCCAGCAATGTGTTCATTAATTGCGGCATAGAGGTGTAAAGGTAACATTGGAAAGACCAGTCTCTGGCACACCTGTTGGCCTGGGCAAACATAGCTACCTGCACCTTTTCTCATCCAATGTCTATTCAGTTTTTCTCCATTTTGGGGGGGGAGGGGCAGATGGGGAAATCACGCTTATCAATTTTGTGCATCCAATGTAACTTGAAGAAAGGACGTTTTACGAAAATTGAAACTACATGTCCAACGAAATTGTTGAGTATGTTGCATTGATTTTGTGTACAATGAATTTGGCATCATTGACAGAAACTGCCTGTAGGGATTTTTATTCTATGGCATTATATGAAATGAATTAATCTCCTATGGTGATACAGTTTTTATGTATTGTTGCTGTAGAAATCGTCCATTCTTATCTTTAAAAGATATCAAAAGCATACTTGAAAAAGAAGGTGCTTTCGAAGCATTTAGATTTACCATAAATGCTCTTTGCCCTGTTTTTGTGAAGGCTCTATCAACCAATTATGTCATGGCTGATATTTTTGGTTTTGTTGGTAAAATGAACAATTCAAACAAAAAACCAAAACAAAAGGAAACAACAACCAGAAAACATTCAGGAGGAGCATACTAAAATAGAAATGTTGCAAAACTGGTTTGAAGAAAAGGGAGACCATTTTCAAAATTGCTCAAATTTGGTCCGTGGAATACTGTGCAAACTCCCTGCATAGGGTTTGTCTTGTGGAAGTGACGTTTCATTATTTGTAGTGTGATGTTTGGAGGTGTGCATTGAGATTCTACATCAGAAGCAGGGTATGCGTGTACTTCAGTGCCTTCTTGAGTTGTTATGCATGGTTGCCTTCATTTGCAAGAATATTGGCGGGGGGGGGGTGATTTCACCCAGCTTCTTTAAGAGTGGCATTGTCCAGTGGAGCAGGAAGTCCAGCAGAAAGCTATCGAGCCACCTTTCTGTGAGCAGAGGTTCAGTCCAACTTGAGTTCTGTACATGTATATGCTGTGAAACAAGTGTCAATGTACAGCAGGCGTGGGACAGGCTGAAACATACTGACGGAAAGGTGGCCTTAGTTTGTATGGAGTGGGATTAACTTGAAGGCGGCACAGAGTTTGATCTGGTGAGGATCTAGTGACTCTAGCTGATCATGATTGGGACAGGCATTTGCAGAGTTAGGAGAGCCTTAGGTTGTAGAGATGGCTTGACATTTGAATGATGGTATTGGCAGACAAACAGAGTTAAATGTAATAGAATGCTTCAAATCTCCTACTTGATTCTAGTGAAACATATCCTAATGAGTTAATGTCAGCAAAACCTCTTCATGTTCTCTACGTCAATCAGATCAAGGGTCTAATAAATGTTTGGACCCACATATTTATATTTATTTCTATTTCTTTGTAATGCAATGAATGGAGTTGGTCTGACTTTCTTTAATACTTAATTGAGAATTGACCTGTTCACCTTTTCTTTCACTCAAATATCTATTGTAATTCAGCACATAAAATTCTGTATCCTGTCGGTTTCTATAATTGAGGCATTAGTTACCAATGTAACTGAGGACAGTCATCTTAACTAGTACCTTGAAGATAAGACTTACTGCAAAATACAAATTGGCAGACATTAAATTGGTATCATCGTATATATTCCCATGAACCTCACTATAGGTGTGACTTTTGCAAAGAGAAGTGAAAGCATCCATGGCTGTAACGGGCTGCAGATTTGGTTGGGCAGTGCTGTTCATATTGAATGGCTGGATAGTGTTGTTATCAGTGCACCCAAATTGTCAGGAAGTGTCTCCTATTCACGTGATTAAAATGTGACGTCTTTTTAGTTAGGCAGAAAGGTGAAAGTTGGGATAGTTGTGACCTTGAATACAAATTTCCTTTAAACATAATGGACATTGGATGGGACAGGATGAGAATTATAAGAGCTAGCTGTCTTGTAGTAAAAGCATTGTGTATTGGTATATACTGAAAACCATACTTAAAGCGGGTTTGTACTAAATTAAAAAGAAAAAATTATAGGCTTTTTTAATTGGTGGCAAACATGCGTATTAAATTTAAGTCTGTATGAAAAGTGTACAAGGCCGATTTCTCTTTCCCTCCAAAGTCTGGTATCACAGTTGCTTAGGAATTCTGTCTTTAACTCCAGATACTGTGAAATAAAAGATAAATATACAAATTGTGAGTACCAATGCAAATTTCACCTAAATCCTGCAGATTTGAATGCCATGGACATGATGTCTGTACCATCCACCATGGTTCAAGTGTGAAAAGATTAATATCAATCTGTCATTACCATTGACATTGGATCTTGTGGTGCGTTAAGGTTTCAAAATAGTTGGTTTGGATAGTCAGGGTGGGGGGGACAGTGACCACGTATTTAGACCTATGAATGTATTCCTCACGGAGTTTCTCTGATCCTACTTCAGAACCATCTCTCGGAACTGAGCAGAAGTTTTGCTTGAAAGAAATGCAAAGTTCAGGCTTCAAATGATGTATTTCTTTTGGAATTTGAAAATCAAAATTGGTTTTGTTTTTCTTGCAACAAGCCCATGGTTTAGACAATGATTTCTTCAAATAGACCTCTGTACTGATGTTGCAACACTTTGTTTGTGTGTACTTTACTGTGGTGCACAGTGGACCATGGGCCCTGACTGGTTTATAAAAAAGGTCATAACAAAGTGACTTATCACTACAGAGGCTTGTTAAAGCATTGGTGTGGTTCACATCTTTCTAATCTGTTGAGTTCTTTCCCATAATGACTCAAAATACAGTGTCCTTGTGATTTTGATGAGTGTTCTGATCTTTGGCTAGGCTAGGGAGGCTGATACAAATCCACCAAGGAGAGCTTGTGCCTACTAAGTCCTTTATGTGGCATTTATTGTCATGTGTGCCTCTTCTGCCACTGTGACTTTTAATGCACCTGGTTACGATGGTTACAGACATGCTTTTCCATTGGTCACATGTTGCAGAATGTGCTCCCTGGACTACCTGACAGTTTTTTACAAGGTTGAGAAAGTAACTAATTGATGCATGCGATGCATGAATAGGGTGAGGAAAATTGGGCTGCAATACCACAAATGCTGGGCTGACATTGCAGACATCAAGACCAGAGACCAGCTGCATTTGTTTTCATTTTTGTGAACAATAGAATTTAAACTGCGTTATTAACTCCTCCCCACAAAATGCAGTGCATCTGGAAGTCCCCATGCTGCCACCGTATAAGCTTGTTTTACCAAAATATAAATAGGGGGTTCTCATTTCTGTCCCACTGTGATCCCGTTGATCTTAGTTACGTATTCCAACTGTCTTTGTGCGCATCAAGATATGATTTTCCTATTCAGGATAAATTTAGTATCTTTTGTGGCAGTGCTGTCTTTGTGGGGGTGTGTTTTGGTTTGAAGTTTTTCTTGAGAAAAGGAAGGAGAAAAAAAACAATAGTGATTAAAACCCTTAGAACACATTGCGGACACATTTTCCGAATTCTTCACTCCAACATTAGACCTTGAATTTTGTTTAAACACTTTCATCGTATGTGACTGATTGCAAAGTGAAAAATCCTATTTATGATACACACACAGCCTGGATACATGTATATCAAACTGGCTTAGTTTGTTTTATTCCAAATTTGTATCCATGATACAGACAGAAGTATATGAACTCACCTTAGATGTGCAATTTGCTTAACACACTGAAAAAAACCGCACAAATATTACTTAGGTAGAGGCAAGAAATAAGTTCAAGATAAACCCCCTCTTTTGGAGGTGGGGGTCGGCCAACTGTTGAGCGGCTCCTTCAGATTGGATTTGTTGGTTTGTGTGAAGTCTGCTAGAGAATTCAGACATGACCTTTATGAAGGTCAGGGCTACAGAGCTTGGTGCAGGGAGTCAGTCGTGAAGAATTGGCACAATTGCCTAAACACACCACACATTTGCAGGGTTGGCTTACAATGTATTTATCACACACAAGAAACTTGACCACCTAAGATTCTCCCGAACTGCAGAGCCACAGTCACCAAAAGTGTTTGTCCGTGTTATTAATTTCATTTCAAGAAGTGTGTTAATACCTCAGTCAGAGTAGAGCGTTCCAGCAAACGAAAACGGGTATTCACATATCAGTGATCCAAAAATTCTGCATTTCAATATTGTTTGCCCCTTCAGCAACTCGTCTTGTGCTTCATACAGAGTTGATTTAATCTAATAATAGGTTATCAAAACACTATGCTAACTATGGTGGGACAGAGAATATATGGCCAGCTTTCTCCCATTTAAAAAAAAGTGTGAATGTATTGGGGGAAATAAGTAAAATGTGACATTCTGTACAAATTGTAAAATTTTATACTCAGAGGGAACTGTTGGCTCGTCGCTGAATTAAATCACGGCGTATTGTTGCAGTTTGCTGTGTAAATAGTATTGTATTTTTTCTCTCCCGTGAGTGGAGGAATTTAGGAGTGGAGGAATTAAAAATATACTAAATATGAACATTGGCATACTGGGTGATAAACCGAGGTGTACAGTCTGTCATTTGTTGTGTTATGAGTAATTCTATGCTACCCCTCACCTGGTCTGGTTCCCTTACCCCATGATGCCTGACCAGTCAGAGTGAACATTCATCATCACGCCAAGGAGACATCCAATCAGTGACTCGATTTTCAAAGCTTTTAGAGATGGCTGCCACCCTGTTTGCGTGTTATGCATGTTTGTAATTTTCAAAGTCTTGGAGCCGTATTGAGTGATGACCAAAATATTTTCATGGGTTAAAGATATAGGAAACTTTTACTTTTAATAGCCAGGTGAAAAAATGCTGTCCATGTGAAATGGCCTGTAAAAGTGATGATGCGACAGCCCACTTAAGTAGCTAGGCTTGGATTCCATCATAAGCTATTAATACGCTATCCAGTCAGCATACAAAGAATTGTGGTAGCTGCCTATATTGCATGACCAGTTCCTCCTGTTTCTCAAAATGTCAAAATGATTTTTTGGAGAGCATTTTTTTCGGAGTTAATATCTAGAAGCTATTCCTTTCTCCGGGGGGGCTGATCACATGGCTCAACCACCAATGAAAAATAAAAGAAAATGTAAACTAAACTTCAGTCAAGAATTGTTGCCAAAGATTTCAAATTATCTGTTTCTGCAGCCATGCAAGATTTAAGTAATTTTACCCTCGAGCCGAGTTTGCTAACAATTTGTTTAGAATCTTTTAACAGACCTAAAACATGATATCACACTGTTTACATATCCTACCGGGACTTGACAGAATGCATCCCACGTCACTACCATAGGAAAGGGTACATGCAAACAAAGCATGATGTCACTGTGCTACAGGTATATTCCCTAATTCAGAGCCAAATCCCACCCCACTGAACCCTGTGTACTACTTCTAAATTCTTACCATATCTGTTGTCCACCTAATCACAGGAATCAACAACCAAAAAATCCAAATCTCATCTCAAATCTTCGACACAGTTACAATTTTAATTAAGTCCTGTTACTACCATCGCTTCAACTTTCTGTTCTTTTTTTCTTCTTTTTGTTACAATACATAGCATAAATGCTTAATTGCACAAGCAAACTCATAATCTGACATTCTAAAAAGTGATTCCGCACGGCAGATTAAAACTAACGTTTTGCACAATTCAATTCCAAGTACAACTAAAGAGACACCACCAGAGTGATTTCCACAGAAGCACATGACAATGCCACAAGCTCAATACATTCAATCAACAGTAATCAATCTATTTTCACCTAAAAAACTAATTCTTTCTGTTCAATGTGGCAATAGTAGGCAACAAAGCAATAAAGAGGTACCATCATCCAGTGCTAACAAAAAAGGTTTCGACCGTTTAAACCATACATGTAAATATAAAGGCAAATTAATTTGCCTTATACTTTTTTAAAAATCACATGTGCAGGCATACAATTTTTCAATTCATTTGACAGAGGGGTGATTATTACAATTACTACAGTGTTTTATAACACAAATTACTTTATTTCATGAACTGTTACCTCCATTTTTCTTTTGAGCTTGGCAACAAAACTTCACAGGACGATTACAGGTTTTTTTCTAAAGCTTTCACAATAGAATAATCAGTCTTGTAAATAAACAAGGAATCTTTTCAGCCTTAACATGTTTTAAGTGGCTAATCACCATAAACCTGTGCATCATCTGCCATTGGCCCTCATTATGCTCTCCTCAAGAGCAAGGTTGCACAAGAACTCTGGTATCCGTGGGTTCTGCTCATAAAAGCAAGGACATCCCATTGGGCCAGTGTGCCCTGAATGCACGCCTGCCCATAGGCAGATGCTGAAAAGTATGCACAACTGACATTCATCTGGAAATCCATAGAGTCTGTGTAGGAGGCACCAGAGGATTAAATGTCCACCTGGCTGTCTCTTTGCAACCGGGCTGAGGCTGTGTACATACACAAAGCCCCTAGCTTTACACTGTGCCTTGCCTAATCCACAATGATTGGATAAAGGCAGTTGGCTGGGAGTGAATAAAACTGTTACAAAGAATTGCAAATATACATTTCAGTCAAACGAAACACTAATAATGTGCAATAACTACTTGTACAGACATAAAAATACTGCACCAGACAAACAAGGAATGTTAGAGACACGAGTTATACCCCAAAACAATGACACCAAATTAATTACTTTAAAAGTAAACATATTTCCCTCACCAACTCATACACGAGCTAGCTTCACTTGAATGTATGTTCCATAGCTTCGAGACACCTAACCAACATCTACTCTAAGAGATTTTGCCCACACAAAAGCATATCCTTTATAGATCTAAAACCTACAGAATGATATCTTATGAAAAGATTACTAAATAACACAAACTTAAATGACAGCAATTATGCAGGAAAAAGGTATGACTGGCTGCACAGCAATGTTACAACCCTCCTTTCAGTCTAACGGAAAACAATCTCGTTTTGTACTCTCCTTTTAAATTGCAATTGGAAGGATTCGGGTATATGAAAACTTAGAAGTGTCATTCCATGTATCAGGGGTGTGAGTGGACACTTAAAATAAAGCTAAAAACAGCTAGCAAAAAGCTGAAATGTAAAAAGATCCAATACTTTTGTAAAGACCAGGTGTACAGAAAAAGCTGAAATTCAGGGTCAACATCAAAACAAAAATAGCTGAAATCAGCTAAAAACCTGAATTCTGACACCCCTGATGTATATGCTTTGCAAGTCAAGGATGCAGTACACTTTTTGTAGTTTAATAATGAATTTCTTTGATTGGTATGTTTAATGAATCTCATACAATGCTGACAAGCTAATGAAAATCAAATGTGTTTCAAATGACCTAATAATCAATGTTCAGGTCTAAGCAACCTATAATTCAATTTAAATAGTAAGCAGGTGAGTCCATCACCCCTTAGAAATGGAAAATCTAAAAGCTTAGCAAATTTTATTTGCAACTGAAGTTGGCACTGTAAAAGTTACCAAATCCTTATACTGCAGAAAGTGTGGAGTACAAATGCTTGGATTGCATTAACCACCCCCAAATAAAATGGAACAATATCTGATAAACTACGATTCACGCAAAAAAAAATTTTGAATAGGAAGAGAGCTATAGTCTAGGACAGTACCAACAGTACTTATATATAGCACTACACGTATATATCATTCATAGTTTTACCATACACGGGTCATTAACAGTATATCAACACTTGTAATACTTTTATGCTAGATTACATTGACAGAATATATTCAACATGCTCAAGATTACATCAAAGAATTAGTATCAGCAACATCTCCTCTTTCATAGAGTAATCACAAAGCTGTCTCAGTGTGGTTTCTGCTCTCCTTGAATTTCTCTCAAATGTCCAAAAGTCCACCTGTTTTCTGCTATCTCCATCAGATTCAGATAAGGTTGGATCAGCGGGGTTTTCAAATTGTCCATTTGTAGTTATTGGTATACAGAATTTCCGATGTGATCCAAACCAGACTCGGTCTTGTCCCAGTTTTGTTACAAATATATTGACAGTGATTGCGTCCAAGCAAATCAGCATCCTCATTTACATAATTTGTGACATCAAGGTACAAGAAACCACACCCACAATTACTTTCGATACAGAAGTGGTCGTGATACAATGCCAGAGAACTCCTACAGGTCATCCCCACTCCACCCTCCCAAATGAAGAAATAACCTCCTGAAGTTGGACAGTTTTATCATTCAGTTTATAGCAGTGGCGCATATATAATGGCTTTGCTGTCGTAACTGCATGCAATGGCATCATGGCCATGACAAATTTCCATTTCAATGTGCACAGACCAGGAATTTGTGTGGACAAATTGTGGGATTGCGTGGCTACAACGTCCCCTTTTTGGTCAGAAGTGCAAAACACTATTTTCCACATTTGTATCAAAGTTTTGGCTATGGAAAGAGTCCAAGGTTTGGGGCATACATAAACAATTAAACTTACTATGGATTTCAACAAGACATGCTGTGGAATGACAGCTAGCAGCCATTTTTCTATGCCAGATGCATGAAATTTATTACCTATTTGACCTTTGGTATTGCTCTCAGAGTCAAATTTACAACTCTGTAAGCAGAGCTCACCCTTTTTACTCACTGGTTTCTTCGGTTTAAATTTTGTCTGGCCTCAAACATAAAAATGCTACACTACCTCACTTATAAATTTATAAAATTATTGCCAGAAAATTATCTTTGGGAAACAAATGTTCAAAGTATAAAGTTGAGATGTTACCCTGCTTTGCCTGCTTGAAAACTGGTAACCATGCAAACAGACACCTCTAACATTGATCAGTTTCAATGAGGAGCTTTGAAGCTTTTCATGATGAAGGTAACCAGTTGAATAAGACATTAAGTAAGAGGTTTGCTGTAGCACCATGCCGTGTACAGAATCCCCTGCCAATATGGCAAAGTGTACATCAATGAGACTGGCAGGGACCTGCCTATCAGACATGAGCACAGAGCCCATGGCAGGAAAGGAGAATTTGAGCAGTCATCAATCATTCAACAATCCCACACAGAAGACCACCAGATCAACAGGAGCCAAGGTTGAACACATCACCAAAATTGAGCACTGGTACCCGTGCTGCATCACAGAGCCACTGATATCCTTGAACATCAGCCACATCCTCACATCCTAATCCAGTGAGTCTCCAACACCCTAGGACATGTTCCAACGTATGGGTTTCCTGTACCCTGCACAATCTCCCCCCCCTCCCTCAGACTGACACACCTCACTGATCACCAAACACCCCATGTTCTGCTTGAACACCCTTGGGTTCCATCCAGAGTTAGTATCCCCTCCACACTTCACTGCCTCCAGACATTGTAACACCTCTATACCGAATATTCGGGAATATCGAACATCCCCCTTGGCACCCAAAATTTCTGTGCACATTTACCGAACAAAAAAAAGATATTCAGAACTGATCATAATAACTCTAAGATGAGGAAAATTGGACTCAAGATGGAACAATGGCCAACCCATGGTGCAGTCGTTCATGGGTAGCCTAAATTTGCATGTATGTATTGTGCGTGTGTCCACAGTTGGCCAGGTACACAGACTGGCTGCCGAATATGTGTATGCAACACTGACGACTCTGGTGTGGAAAACTCTGAATAATAATCTCTACACAGCTGGCAAATTTTACCTTTAAAAAATTGAAATAAATGCCCAAATTAACGCAAGCATTTTCTTTTTATTTCTTTCATATATACCTCGCACATTTAGATTGTTTTCAAAAATGCTTGCCTGACATTTCGTTGCCTACTTTGTATGCCCACTTAGACATATGTGCACTTCCAGTGCTGCTGTATCAGAATGGTTCCAAGCACGGCCCATTTATTAAAGTGCCAGTTTACCAACAGAAACCAGTGTAACAATGCTACATGTTACATGTGAATTGTAAGTGACGACTCAAGGAAAACTTGATTTCATTTCACAAATCCACCTCCAGTGAGAACTACCTTAAAAGTGAAACATGAAAGGAGATGAACATATATTGAACAAAATGCAAGAATTTCAGCATTTTTTATTTAACTTTATTTCTTGTGTTGCCCAATATCCCCACACCAAACTTTTGTGGGGCGGGTGGCGGCACACATTTGGATATGGGCTAGAGTTCAAAACAGAAGTGTGCATCTGTGACTGAAAATCGCTATACCAAACGACCGCTTTACCAAGCATTCTGTGCAGATCCCACCATGTTCGTTATATGGGTGTTCTACTGTAAGCTGCTTCACCATTGGATCCCTACAGTCTCCTGACGACGGACAGAGCATGCTGTCTGAAACGTTGAGTACCCCCCCAGTTCTTTTCAGAACCAAACATACTCATACAAGAGATATTCTTGCATAGTGCTACAGCAAACCTTTTAATTAACAGTCTTAATAATGAACTGGATACCAGTTAAAACTGTTGGACAGTGGCCAAAACTCATTTAGAAGAATCAAATCTCTTGCTGAACTAAATGGCATTTCTTTATCCAAAGGATGTTGAAATTTGACACAAGAGGCACAACTGCAGTTCCTCAAGCATTACCTTAGGAAAATAGAATCACTTGATCAAGCAAGGGCCACTACAAACTGTAAAATAGAAGTCTTCCCTTGGAACTCTGAATGTAACATTCTAATTACTGGCTAACTTCTGGATTTGGTGATTTATGTACAGCAACTTGTCTGCATAGCTGGACTGCATTGCTTTCTGTTCCATGGTTACTGACACCATCTTGTTTTAAGAATGTCTCATATCTTGATAGAATACAGTTAACAATACTTCCTACGCGTGAATTTGGAGGGGCTTTGGTTTGAAAACTCAAAAGCAGGCTACCTTCAATCTAAATGAGTAAAGGAGCAGTTTGCAGGTTTCACAAAGAACCATTTTTGTAAGTACTGACCAGTTCAATTCCTAAAACTGACCTATCTTGGGCATCTTGCTAAACCATCTGATGTATTTCTGTACTCGCTGACTTGCACTCCTTATGGTGCTTTGGCATCACTCAGTAGCTTTCAATGCCTTGTCCATGGCCTCTTTCACCTTGCTGATAAAATACTGGAAATAAGAAAAGAAACAAAGTTTGGCAAATGGGTTAGAAATCTAGAGGTACATGTAGTTAGGGATTAGTAGTACACTAATGAAGCTGAGTTTGAGGGTGAATTGTCGAGGCTGGCTCCCCGAGGTAATGGAAATAGTCTGTCAACCATTTGTACCAATATCCAACAGGTACATGTGTTGGCATCTTTTAGTGTACCTAGGGCAATGTTTGTGCATGTAAACTTCACCTGGGCAACAGTTCCATGATAGCGTCATGTAGTACATTCATAATATTCAACTCTTCCGTGGATCAGCCAAAAAACAGTGGACTCTTTTTGCACATTGAACTTGCGCGTGGATCCTTGCATGCATACCAAGTTAACAGCAAACTAGTGACTCGCATGTGATGGTGAATGGACACCAGAGAATATGACTCTTGATCATGAATATGTATGAAGGTACATATCATATGTGTTAAGTATGGTAATAGGAATAGCATTCACTTGATAGGCAGCATACATTCTGAGACATGTCTAGAAGATGGACAGGCTGCCGACTACAGTTCTACAGTGCAAATGATTTTAAAGATTTTCTTCTGACGGTCTCATAACTCAGTTTTTCACAGTTCCCTTCCCAATTCTTGCACAGTGCAGCCATCTTGAAGTACTCCATCACTAGCACGGATGGAAGAAATGGGTTGGTGGGAAATTTTTGAACCAGGACCTGTTTGTGCACACGCCCGATGACGGTACATTTCAGCAGAAATTGGTCACAAGTGCTCAGCAGGTCCAGCGCCGAATGCACAGGAGCCTATGTGCATAAAGAGTGAGTTCCCACCAAGGAAATGCTACGTAAAAGCACGCCCTCTCTAGTTCCTGCACAGAGCAGATAGGAAGCCACACAGAATGGCCCTACGTTTCATTACTAATCCATAGGATACACATAGCCATTTTTCACACATGATACAGGACATAATACAAACCTCAGCCTCTTTCCTATCGGTGATATGGACCATCTTTCCCTGTCCTGACTTCCCCTTCAGCAAGCCCAGACCAAATCCCTTCTTCTTGCCCTTTTCCGCATCCTCCTAAAACAGCCAAAAAAAGGTTTTACAAAATTAAGGCAAGTTGCCACTGTTTCACCTACGTGAGATTTTGTAACGAGTCTGTCACTCAAACTAACCACAGTGCATACCAGCTGTAAAGCTTGCACTAGATGTTCTCTGGTACACAATTATTTGCAAATGGGTCATTCTATAAATTTTTTGTCCAAAGTGTGACATTTTTCTGTCCCTGTTACCTCTGACATGTATACCATCTGACAAGTTTGACAAGGGATATATTACTGAAATTGATTTCAAACTATTTTTATGTTTGGCAGGTAATTTGCAGTACTTATTCAGTCTTTGAAATTAAGGAACATGCCAGACATAACAGAGACGGGAAAAAATTGGGCCCCAGAAAATGCCTGAATGACTTGGGTGTAGTTGAAGCTGGTAATCAAACATGTACCTGTAAAAAGAAGATGTCACTGCTAGCCAGCAATTTCCATTGGCACGTGTGTCTATGGGAAATAGATGTCACGGCTAGCCAGCAATTTCCATTGGTACGTGTGTCTATGGGAAATAGATGTCACTGCTAGCTAGCAATTTCAATTGGCATGTGTGTCTACAGGTAACAGATGTCACTGTTAGCCGGCAGCTTCCATAGGCACATGTATTATTTCTAGCCTAGCTGTAGCCAAGTTATTTAGACACAGCCTTATGATACAGGCACACTGGTAGCCCCATCATGATGTGCTCATAATGCTATAAGTTACTGTTTGTTTCTGGGTATGTTATGTTAGACACCAGGCTATGGCAAGTTTTGGCACGTTTGGAATTTCACTTTGTTCACACTACAAAACCCCCATTTTAATGATCATGCCAAAAGGAAGAGAAGCACTTCATTTGAGAATGAGTTATGAGCAAGAAATCTGTACCACGAAATGCAAGTTGAAACTGAAAATCACCACGAATAAGGATGAAAGCATTGAACATTTTGGCCACCATAATTCAGGATTTGGTCCGTGGTCTGAAATTCAAAGTAGTTCTGCCGACATGCAACTCATTTATTTAGGTTGGGAGGCAAATCAGGCAGATTGGTGCTAAACGATTGGACAGACCTTGGTTATGATTTGAAGACCTTTCTCAGTCAGGGCTGGTGTGTCCTTCAGGTCTTTGTATGGGTACTGAAACTCCACATTCCAATGACCAAGGACCTCTCCCTTGCTCGTCAAAATCAGGCGTCTGAAAGGAGAACATAACCAAACAAATTCAAGCCAACTTAGCTTGTTTATCATGATTGGTCAATCCATGGCGACAACAGTGTAGTGTTATACCATGGCCCACACCGCACTCTGAGTACGTGGTAAATTCCATGTAGTTAGAACAGTATGAGCGGATTTGTAAATTCCAGTTCGAGGCATTTGCATCCAATGTGGATGGTTATGTGTGTTTGGACACTCCACAGTAGGTGTCCCTAATTTGCACTCCATTTCAATTAAATCTCTGTTTTCAGATGGCGTACATAAAGAGGTCTGCCGATACAGACTTGTTGAGTTTGAAAATGCACTCAAGGTAAGATACCAAAATAAATGCAAGACTTCAGCCTCTCACAGTTTGGTATGAATTACAAATTAAGGGGAAAAGAACCTGAAAAGTACTCAGCTGAGTACTTCTGTCCTAAAAAGTTAATTTTTACATGACAGTAATTATTTAAGGTCATCAATTCATTTTGTAATCTTCCATTTGTTCATTCACCATTCAGTGTCAATGTTTCCCAGCTTTGTCCACACCTAACCAGTTCAGTATTAGGAAGTAGAATTGGTACTTGGAAAGTACTCATGCATAACACTGCACACCACATTATTCTGCGTAAAACCATTTCTGTGACGTCACTACTTTTTTTCAAAGTGTAGATTATTTTTACGAATCTACAGCAAACTGTAGATTCATAAGTTAAAAATCTACAGTTATTGTTACAAAACAATTACTGTAGATTCGTTAAAAATCTATGGTTGTTGTTGTTTACAATACCTGTAGATTTGTAAGACAACTGTAGATTCGTTACAAATCTACACTTAATGTCTTACAAATCTACAGTTGTAGTAGATTCGTATCGACGAGGAGGGTAGCCTCACGTTCACCCCTCATTTCAATCATCAAAGTGTAACCGTAGGATTGGGTTTGGTAAGAGTAACGTAATGCAGTGCTGCCGTGACACTGATTCTACTGGGCCTCATAATAGCTACAGTTAACAAATTTAAGAGATACCGGGAACACCCACTGGCCTCATTGTGTACGTTTGCCTTTCACCATAGAAAATGACATTTTGTAAAGCAAAATTTTCCACAAGGATTTGAATTTCCTCTTCACCTTTCAATAAGGAATTAATTTGATGTGTTTTGGCTGCTTTTCTGTGTCTAGGTTTTGCCCACTCTTTTTTTATAATGTTGGATTATAGCTTAATTGAACTGACACAAACTTGGGTAAATCTTCTAGTTGTTTTCAAGATCCTGAGGTGACAGATCTGCCAAAATTGCTTCTCCCTGAGCACATATAAATCTTGCTTGAAGAGTTAGCCCGTAAATTTTCTTGTATTGCTAATATTTATAGTGCTACAAGCAACTTCAGGTGGAAATGTGCGCTTTATAGAAATTCTTACAAATTGGCATCGTAATTTGAATCCACGGTTGGTCATTCTCCAAGTGAAATTGCGATCTGTAGTGAGGGGGCATTTCAGAATGATTCATATATAAGAACATTTAAGTACATGTAGCAGTGAAGCTCATTTTGAGCGGTTTGTAAAGTGGTTCTAAAACTGCTAACCATACTTTCCAGAGGTTGATATAGCATTCCTCAATTTTATGGAGTCCTGTGGTGGTTTTAGTCCGATAGGTTTGGACAGCAATGACACACGTGTAATAATGACTCCAAGGCGCAAGAGGAAGAGAAGCGAGTATGTATCCAGCATTGACGGTGTTGACTGCTCAAATACTGTTGATGATTTACTTATGGCCAAAACCCGTCCACATTAATGAATGGAACAAAGGCGTGCACTCAGGCGTAGGGTAACAGCAAGAACGTCATAGACTTGGGACTCCATGTTTGTGTAACAATGGGAAATAGTTTAAGTCAAAGAATAGACCCAGAACTGTAGATTTGTGCAGGAATGGGCGAGGTGAACGTCCATTCTCCTTGACTTCCACTTACGCATACCTAATCATGCCTTTGAAGAACCTAAACTCACCTAAACTCCAGTCAAGGGTGAATTTTCCCACTGCCTTATTTGCATACTCATCAATATTCATGATATTTGCATAAACATTCAATGGTTACTTTTCCATCCTATGAGCTGTCCAGCACTCACTTGTCAGTGGCCACAAGATAATGCTTCTTGTCTGCAGTCAGCAACATATGAGCCACATAGTCCTCTGTCTGGGAAAATTTGCCCTTGTCGATCTGATGGAACAGGTTCTGGCCTTCTGCCTCATGCTTCTCATATGGACGCACAATGCCATCAAGGTGCAGGTAGCGTGGGAAACGCAGCCTGACAACGTCCTCACTCATGTCAGTCACCCTGGTGAGGAGGACAAATTAAAAAAAATTCAAAGATTTCAAAAGTGGCTTACAATCAGAGGGCTGACGGGGAATATTACACTTTGAGGAAATGTTGAAACTTGGCAGTTTCTGCCTGCATAAATACTGAAATTGTCAAACAGATACTATCAGCGTGGAATTTGGAAAACTTTATCCAGCCACCCCTGAGCTCCTGTATCCAACGTTTCAAGCATAAGATGCATAAGTGTTTATACTACATTCATTATGCATTCTCTTAACCAAAAACTGGATGAACTTAAGCCTATCTTTATCCTTTGTTCCATTAACATTGTCATAAAATTTCTCTAATAAAAATTTTAAAAAAGTACCCACAAGTGACATGAATATCTAATTTTTTTTCCAATTTCCCAGATAAAATAAGTTTGTAAAGATAACCCTGAAAATACTGTCCTTAACCACTTCCCGCCGGGGATTCCTTATCCGGACACGTATGCTTTATATGTGTGGCCGGGGTCTTCGAACTCAGACAAAAGGTACAGGGCCTTGTAGTAAAAGACCATACTCGGAACAAAAGACCAGGCTGCTGGGCATTACTGACATTTTTTCACTCTCAAAAGTGGAGATAATCCTGCCTTATTTTGAAACAGTATACCACGGTTTGGGGCATTTAGAGCAAACAGATTACCACCGGGGAAAAAAGCGCTCCACCACCGCAGCGATGAGCCACACAGCACCACTGCATGCTAATCTGGCCCCTATTGAAAAGAGGTCAGCAGTGCACTGAGCTAGGTTTGTGAACAAAAGACAGTTATGTAACACCGCACAATCTGGGCTCTTTTAACAAGGCTGCAGGCCTGGCTGATATACTCAGGCGTCAATAGATTTTGTCTGTCAGGCTAGAGGGGCCACCAGACAGTCGTTCATGTGTTTGTAAGTGTCCAGTGAATGAAGATAAGAATTTTTAAAGAATTTGGAAAATAGAAAAAAATGATAAATATCCCGGCCCAGCATCATCAGCATTGATAACTGCCCCAGCAGGAAGTGGTTAACCCTAACCCCTAGGGTGTATGTAAAATCGTATTACAATTGGAGGATTTGGGAGTGTTACGGTTAAAGACCAATCAAAATGCAATTCGAAAATCAGGGCTGTATTCAATTAGAAGACACACATAGCAAAGTTCACATCAAAACTTGAACTAAACGAAACTAAACAGAGAGAAAGTCCTGACCTGCGGATGCCTTCAAAGGTGCTGCTGGCAAAGTCAATGACGCCCCCTGTGGGTTTGACCACAACACCAGCTAGACCCTTGCCAACGCCCTTGAAGAACCCCTTGGCCCCCTCTTTCTTGGCTCCTTGGAAGGGGTTCTTGACCACACCCGTCACGCCGTCCACAAAGCCCTGGGGTGACAGAAAATAGACAGATGCTTAAAGATCTTTTGAAAGATCTTTTCAAAGCCCACTAGTGGAGGTTTTGGAGGATTTTGCAGGATTGACAGAGGAACAGCCTCAGCAACTTATTTCTCCACGTGGGGTTTGAAGCCATTAAGGGTTGAGGAAGAAAGAATGTACATTGGCTTTCTACACATTGTAAGAATTTGGGGAGATCCAGGGAGATCCCTAGGTCCAGGGGGTACACCAATGTCTCATGGCTGATGTATTACCTCATGGGACAGAACATTCATTTAATTTTTTCCTTGCATAAATGTGAAATTTTCATTATTCCTTTTACATAAAACCTTCACAAATCCAGAAAATAGAAACCGTGAGTGACAATGGAAAAGTACCTCTATTTAATGCGAATATTTTTTGTATACGGATATGAGGTGCCTTGAGAGGAATAATTCCGAGATGTTTGATTGATGGACCACCAATCAGATGACAGCCATTTATTCAGGCACTCTGTGAAATGCATCACATGCATTGTAATTTTCTGCAATTGCTCCATAACAAATGGCAGGTTGAGAGATGTCACGTACTCAAATAGGGACAATTCACAATACACCTTTTTCAAATTTACAGTTGACAAAAGCATGTCCGCCTTGCTGTAATTTGAAACTGAGTGTATCTTGGTAGATGACTTGGGGAAATGTTGATAGGTTGGGACATTCCATGCACTAGAAAGAATGGGTTAATTAAACTGCTACGCAAAGACTCTCGCAAATCTTCCCTGACAAACAAGGATTGGGATTAATTCAAGTTCCCTGCGTCCAGCCAGAGAATAGAATTTGTCAACCATTTCCCACAATGCACTGCAAAAAATGACCACCTCTTGGTGGCGCACTGTACTGTGAATCACTTGTATTCCAACAATGATATAACACATTTGACTAGCTATCTTACCATGACTAGGCCTTTGCCACCCCTGGCCAAACCCTCTTGGAATGTGGCCGGTTTCTGGTTGATTGCCTGCTGCCTCTTTCTCTTGTACTCCTCATCCATGGTCAGCGCTGCCAGGCCCTTGCCTAGGGTGCCGGTGATGCGAGACACAGCACCAGCTGCACCACCCACTGCATGACCGAACAGGCTGCGCATGCCTAGAGCCACCCCCTCGGCAAACTCCTCGGGGCCTTGGACGATTCCCTGGAAGGAATCACAACATTGACAACAATCAAATTCCACAACTGAAATGCTATTCACCATGCTATTAGATATCCTCCAGGGTACAATGTGGTCAAGATAGTTTGTTTAGCAATTTATGCTTGCTTTCCCATTCATCCTAAGTATGAACTCGCCTTAACTCAGCATCATGATCAGACAAAATGTCTCAATTTATTTTCTTCAAACCATTAATCTATTTGTGAGAACTTCTTCAATGTCACTGGCAACTGACAGCTCACCTGGTATGGCTCATAGAAGAAATCCACCACACCAGTCTGTACACCGCGCACAAAGCCAAACGGGTTACCAATGACATCCAAGCCGAGTACCAGTACATAGAGCTGCTTGATGGCCTGATTGGCGTAATGGCTGACAATCTCAGACTGTAGCTGCTGCTGACTGTAGAACTGGTGCTCTCGCTCAAAGAAGCCCAGTCTAAAGGTAGCAATGAACAACAGCAGGTTTTTAAAGAGGAACAGTGACGCCTCCGAGAGTTCAGTGGCCTCACAAAAATGGCCCTTTTTTCCATCTACAGTTGACTTTCTGACTGAAATATCCTGCAGTTAATCCTCATGATCATCGGCACCTTATAACTCTTGGTTCCATGCACAAGTAAAATAATGCAGTTTGAATCTTTGCAGGCAAAGAAAATTATTAGTAGGGGTAAGAATTTCAAAATAAAATTGCACACAAATACACGCAATCTAAAAAACTGCACAGTCTTTGTCAACCACTCCACAATTTCTGCCATTTGGAGATGCGTCAGGAGGGGATTTTGACTTCTTCTGACAATGCACTGCAGAGTTTCTTACTCAAACAGCAGATGTCTTTAGACGTTGTAAATGTGACCATCCAAACTGAAGCGATGCCAAAAGTTAGCGATTTAAATTTCTGAGCTGTGCATAGTAACCCAGGTCACTAAGTACACAGTCAGTAATGAAGACAACAAAATATAAATGAGAAATAATGAAACTGGCCGTCGGTGAGCACTTCTACAAATCCCTCAGTAGCTTATAGAAGGAAACAAGATTTTATGAGGTTTAAGGGAAAACTTAATTTAAAAAATAAGCTACGTGGAGTGCTAAAACAGATGTCACGTTTACGTGTGCGTTAAACGGTTGTTGATAAGCATTTTGCATTAGACAGAATGGGCAAGTTGAATACATTTTTAATGTTTGCTTTTTCGTGCTTCATTAAAGTTTGGAGTAAGGCTAACTTTTACAGGTACCTCGTCACCCACGTTGAAGTCAATAAGGTGCCCCATGGTACCTTGTAATACTTGTAAATGCACACCACTAAAATCCAAAAAACTTCCAGGCTCGAAAAAGTCTTCACTCTGTAAGAAGTTCTGGCAACGCGATGTCCTTCCACACTATAGCAGAAAACATCCCATTCCACCACTTTCAACAAATGAAAGTTTGAAATAAGGAAAATCAAGACCTACTTGAATACGACGTCATCGATGTTGGTGAGCGTGACACCCACACTCTGCAGGATGAGCCTCATGGCATTCTGCTGGACAGATGCCTTCTTGGTGACCGCTGATAAATCGTTCTCTCCGCCAGTGTCCGACAGGGAAAAGCTGACATGGGTCTGTGAGGTGAATAAGAAAACGCATGAGATTCAAAGTAACCTCATTTAGAGAAGAACACATCAACTTGATTTCAGTATACTTGGTTCGTGGTGTGGTTTTGTAAGGTTGACATCTGCCAAACAGCAATGTCACATGGAATGGTCAACTGCTCATAGTTTTTATGAAAAGGAACTATGAGATAAATTCTCTTAATGACAGCGGTACAACCTTATTCCTCAGTGATGTAGTCGAGTACTTTTTGCGAACCAGGTTCTATACCAAATATTTAACTGGTTAGGAGGGAACAAAGCTGAAGTACATCGGCATTTGATGGTACATGAATAAAGGTAAGATTACAAAGCAACATACTGACTTCAGACCATCACTGTTTGATTAAAATTAACTTTTAAGGACAAAAGTACTCGGAAAGTACTCGGCCGAGTACTTTCCGAGTACTTTTCTCCTTAAAACTTAAATTTTACACAACTGGGAGTGTCTGAAGTCTAACATTTATTTTGTAATCTTACCTCTGCACATTTACCATCAGATGCCTGTGCACTCTGGCTTTATTCCCTCTTACCCAGTTCAGTATTTTGCAGAGAACGTTGGTACTCGGAAAGTACTCGACGACAACACTGTTATTCCTTTGGAGTAAGGAGTCCTGTATTTGTTCATGTTGAGTACCCAGAACAGCCAACTTTTGTAATTGCATTTGAATTGTTTGTCTTTGTTTTTTAAGGCTAATCGTTTGCGGGTTAAATGAATGACAATACTAAATCACTACTGATCTGTAGAAGAATAAATCCTAAACTACTCAGAGCGGCTTCCTTATTGGATATGGCCCGTCATTAGCTCTTTGTATGACAACTCCAGTGTATATAGTACAGAGTATTCAAGTCAGTAAGAGAGTCAAACCTAGATGGTACTCATAAATATAAACACAGCAGGATGTTAGATCGTCTGTGGCACTGATGGACAAAAAAATCTGAAAAATTTTACTACCTACAGATCAACTGTAGAAAACGGACACACTTCATGCACATGTAGCTATTTCTTCAGAAAATGTGATGCATGTTCTCTGCATTCATTCGTACCTTGAGGGGCGACAGGTGGAAATTATCAAAGAAGTTGACGTTTCCAGCTAGAGCAACCTTGACAGCCTCTTCATCCATGAAGGTGGTGGTGCACACCTTCAAGTCATCTTCCATCCACTTTAACTACACGACCCAAAACGATTAAGAAATTAGACCTCACATGACACAAGTGCGTCTCCCTCATCTTATAATACAATAATACAAACCAAAGCCAAGTATATTTTAGAAGGAAGTAAAAAAGAAATGTCATTCCAGCAAGAAATGTACATCAGAGTGCTCTCTGATGTGGTAATTTAAACAGAAGGTGGAACAATCACATCATGTCAGTGCAATACAAAAGAGTAGATAAAGTTGCTAGGGGATGCACTTTTAAGGCTGTTCAAATCAAATGTCAAATAAAATATCACTAAAGGTTAATTCCCGTTTTCAGTGAAAAAAGTTCAAAAACTGGTTTAGAACAAAACTGTGCTACTGCTTCACTTTGCTTTTCAGTTTTCAAGGTGGATCACATGCAGTACAAATCTGATCATCTAAACAGTCATCTATTACTTGAATCCTCCATCATGTGTCTTTGTTACCTATGACTGGATCTGGTGCTCAATGTTGAGGTCTTCCTCAAGAAATTTTCTTTGAACAATTCTCCAAAAGTAAATATGATATCTGAGTTCTTTGGCATACCACAATACAGTCTGCTGCTTTTAAGCCATTGGAAATCAATATCTTGATAAATTAATAATAAATATGTATGCATCTGATTACAACGTAACATTTCTACCAGAAATATTTGTTTAGAATCTTAACAGTTCTTTTGTTTAAAAGCAACATCAATAAATTATAAGCTATAAAAGAAAAAGTACATGTACTGTACATGTATGTAAAGGAAATCTTTAACACATTCATGTACTACATGAATCTAACAACAAAACAATTACAATTAACAACAAAAACAATTAAGACACACAATAAGGCAGTGTTTATTAACATAAACTATCATTCATAAATACCTCAGACAATCTCCCTATTCAACAACATGCAATTTAACTGTGTATGAACATTTGATAATGCCCGCTGAGAAGTGATGATGCCCGCTGTGTAAATCACACACTGGCACCTGAATACAAAACAGTTGATTCGATTCTGATTGGTCAAGAGTTTGTGTGCACGTTGCTCGCCACAGGCGTGCCAATTGGACAATTTGCACAAGGAATATTCCACAAAAATGGACGGGTGTGTTTGGGAAAATGAAAATAATATTCTAAAACAAAATCACTGGAAATCCATCATATATTGACTTCTTTTGACTCTCTCCCTAAAAAAGTATTTATCAACTGGAATAAAGATGTGTTTGGCCAGTCTTAAAGTAACGTTTAAGACTGGCTCAGGAGAGTGAACACTGATGATGCCACGTCCATTCTCCTGAGCTGTCTTAAACGCACATTTAAGACCAGCCAAGCATATATTTATTCCCTTCAGACATGGGAAGAATGAAACAATGGTTCAGCAAACAAAAAAATTATATCTTTCAAATATTCAACAACACTCAACACAAACTCAGAGTGGAAGATAAAATAAGGAATGAAACAAAACACACACAAATTCATGAACACTGGCAAAAAGAAAGAAAAAACCTTAAAATAACAAGAAATAGTCAAAAAATGATGAGCACATTTCACTGCAATCAGTGCTTGTATGAATCTACATCAAATGGAAAGACACAAGTTAACACAAGAATGGAAGCACTTACACATACTGAGGGATCTGGGCCAAGCTCCTGAATGTCAAGTGCAATTAATAATGCACAGTACAAGATAAAATGATTAGTCTTATGAATCTGGACATGTCATCTCATCGAAAACTAATAAGCAGCACTTCCATACATGGCTATCTGCGACCAAGACCACAACATCTGCGACCAAGACCACAACATCTGCGACCAAGACCACCTGCAACTGGAACTTCATCACATCTCCACAGCACTACAGCGGAACGGATTCAAGTCAAGACAGATCAAGACCCAAGACCCTAGACCCCCTCCAGACCAGCGGGTCTCCTATACCCAAGGTCAACCATTAGGCACATTAGTTCTGTCACCCTCCCCTACATAGGCAATACTTCCCACCGGATCCAGCGCATCCTTCTACACCATGGCATCAAAGTCTTCCATACCGCCCCCAACAAGATCCAAGCAGCTCTCCAGTCACACAAGGACAAGCAAGACCCCAAGACCAAGCCAGGCGTCTACAGGATCCCCTGCGAATGCGGCAAGGTGTAAACCTACTTTCTATTATACATGGCCATGATGGAAACGCTGAAGGTTTGATGCAAGTAGTCACACTTAGAAACCACACCTATTCCAACAAATTTAACTACCAAAGGCAAAACTTTTCTTTGTCAGGCATCATTCATTGACTCATCGACTAGAAGATCTATTAAATAATTATAACACTGAGTATGACACACTAGGTAGTATATTGATGAACTAATAAGCTGACACAGTGAGAAAATGATGTAATGATTGACCGGTTGGATGATAGCTTGGCGAATTTTTACCTTATATCTGTAGGTGTTAAGTCAGTTGGCTTAGAGATTGATTTACTTTTTCCAAAATTACTTAAATATCGAATAATGGAAGTATACTTTGCGAAGCCATACACCACCAAAAACTGAGGAGTTGTGTTCTAGCAAAACCTTAAGCCTTACTGTAACTACAATGAACTCCACAAGCCTGCAGTGCGGTATGATTCTCAAGATACAACAAAGAAATGAAATCAACAATGCACAAGACATGGGATATGTCTATTATGGGATCATGGGTGGTGTGATCTCAGCTTGGACAAAACGTTGAATTACCACCAACATAGGATCTCTATGTCAGTGCCCACGAACCAGGACTGCAGTGAAAGATGAGACTTTTGGATGGACCTATCCAATTCGGTTTGGCTTACCTCCATGCCTGTGGTTTCCTGTCCACTCTGGAAGACAGCCGCCAAGCTGGTGATGAAGCCAATGTCCACCTTGACAGCCATCTCCTGAATCAGCAACTTGAGGTACTTGATCTGTTTGACTTTGCTGTGTTCTGACTCACGCATCATCAGACTGAACTCAATCATGGGCTTTGGAACTGTGATTAAATGAAACAAGAGGATGAGCAGCAGGTTTACACATGAAATACACTTTTCCAATAAACTCATCATTTAAGCTGATTTCCTCATTCATCATTTATAAATACATCTGAACGGTATCAGGGGAAATTGACCAACCAGAGGGTGATTCTTTAGATGTGCTCTGTACGAAAACCTCTGAGCTCATATGTAACCTAATGTGTGTCCTAATGTGTCCTAATGCCATCACATTATTTACAGTCCTGTCTGCCTGCTCACCACTGTAACTATCAAGAAGCAGTAAGTCGCCCAACACTAGTAGCCTGGTCTGAAAATCTAACAGTGTTTAAATACCAAAGGGGCAACCACAGACCTCTTCTATCTCAAAAACCTTGGGAGGTACAACTCAAGAGCACAAATTTTTCAAACTTCATTAGTCTCTAAATACCAGGGGTTACAAAAAAAGACCCACAGCTAGAGGCTGCGTGAGCTGTATGTCAGATATGGCCCAAAAATGACAACACAGATTGCAAATGGAAACTACTTATGTTAAGAATGGGCACATCTTTGCATGTGCATGTGAAACTTATTTCATGATCCAGATTTAGAGCCTCTTTTATGTTCATAAATGTGTGTGTTTATACCTGGGGACATAATTTTCAAAAGTCCGCTCTCAACAGGAACAGGACGTGTACCTTTTGAACATTTCCAAGGGATAGGACTATTACAAAGTCTCAAACTATACACAACTTGACCACAAAATGTTTCATGGACAGCGAGACCTAAAATGGCATACCGCTCTCTGCAGAGACACTCTTAGGTGGTGGTATCGGAGCAAGGACCGTCTGGAAGATAGCAGCCGGCATCTGGTTATCAATCTGGATGCGGTGGATCATGACATGAACCTGCAGCTGGTGTTTGGAGGTGCGAACCTGCGCCCACATGCCCGTGTGATAGGTGCGTCGTATCGGCCTGTGCTGGGGTTGCTTCATGGTCATGGCGCGGAAGTCAACCTGGCAGTATGGCATGGAGAGTTAACGTTACTGTTATTACAAATAGTTATCGGTACTATTGCGAAGTTGACTGGAGCAGGGGTGGGTTCCCTTGCCAATGAGGGCCATGTCTGGGTACAAAGTGAGACTGACTGACTGACTGACTGACCAACATCGGAAGACATTTACAACAAGCTGAGGCCTCTTTCTGCATCAAAACTCCCTAGTAAATCTTCATATATCACCAGCAAAATTCAACTGTTGGCCAAAGCAACAAGTCACGATGTTTTGAAACTGCTGCAAACACATAAAGGTGGTTTCTACTTCGGGCGAATGCAGAAGCAAAGACAACTTGACATCAGCTAGTGTTAGCGGCGAAATATGCTTGAGCTGAAGTTTGTTCAACTTCTGCGACATCTAAACAATCCTGAATTCATCTCACCTCCCTGAGGAGTACACTAGCCTGATGCTGCCATACAGGGCACAAACGGCGAAACATAAATAACCATATCTGCCCTCAAAGGTCCCCATTTACTCCTGGGTGGAGAGAGGCACACATGGGGGAAAGTGACTTGCCCAGGATCACAACATGCTGCCACCAGCTGGGTTCGAACCCTGACCCAGTGATCAGAAGTTACAAACCCTAACCACTGGGCCACATGCCCCCATTCCACGTCAAGATATCTAGTCCATCAATCAACTTCTGCATCAGATGAAAATTGAACCCAAGGTACAGCCACAAAAGTACACGGTGTGCTTCTGAAATTTTAACAATGGGGACAGGCACACATTTTCTGCTATCATATATTTAGAGCAATTTGTCCAAAATGAGCCAGTTCGGTATTTTAATAGTGCTTGCCCAGTGTGAGACTATTAGGGAACACCTACACGCATGCATGATAGTCTGGTTCTTTCAGTGAAGCCATACACTAAACTCAAGCCCATGTTTTGTTCCAGAAAGACCTTGGTTTTTGAATACCTGAGAGGCTCATGGGTTTGGTACCCTGTGTGCTGTTTGCATGCTGCACCAGACTTTGGAATGAGTAATCTGGTTTGCTTGCATGAGCACTCACAGCTTGACTCATATCGATGGGACAGGGAGCCTGTATCAATGCTCGCACAGAACCTACAGGGATGAAATTTATCCGTCAGAATTTGATTAACACCATCTCAATCCATCCTACTCCTCGACGTGACGCATGATTCCAAATCCATGCTAGGTATGAGGGCAAATATCTCTTAACTGATTACCTCAAAGTCTTTCTCCAGCTTGGTGAGTTTAGGCGGGGCATCTTTGTCCGTGACTAGTTCATTCTGCGCCTTCTGGTAGCCATCTTCCAAGAGTTTCATCTGTTTGCCGTTCATGTCGCGCCATCGCCGACGTATCTTGTTCTGCCAGATGATACCAGAGCTGTAAAAAGAGGGGAAAAGTTTTTATTGCATGCCTTAAAACTAAGCTGGTACCATTTCACGAATTTGATTTCTCAGAAGAAAACATGTTAATGAATGAGTTCAAAAGGTTTAAGGTATTTTTAACAATGCTGCTTGCCAAATTTGTTTTAAAACTCTTCATCAAGATGAAATACTCTTCATCAACTCTGTTTTCACGTGTATAAATATTATCATCATTGAAAGATTCATAGAGTGCTTTATAATATGGCATTTTTGGAGCTTATACTAACTTTTTTAGCAGTTTTGTCACTTACGATGAAAAACTGGCAGAAACGGTCCATCTTACCTTTGACCATATTAAGATCACGAAAACAAGTAGTTCATGTATAATTTGAATATCATTTCAAAGATACAAATATCAATACCTTATGTTAGCTTCTTAAAAATAAAATTTTTAGTGCTGCCAACACTAAATAAATTAGAAGGGTACCATACCTGATAATGCCAATGTAAGCTACTTCAGTTCTAGTCAGGTTGTTGACCAGTGACAGACCAATACCTGGTAGAGATAAGACCAACTCCAGATCAGACTGCTCCAATGTTGCTGCCTGTTCACACAAAAAAATAATACTTTACACTTAAAAATAGTGCACTAATACACTACTGATACTTTCAATGTATGCAATTTTGTTATTGTGAGGGGAGTGTGCCATTGACATTTCAACTTCAAAAGGGAAACTAACCAGCAAAACTGGCAAAAGTTGTAATTTTGTCTTTACGCATTTTCAGTGTTCCTGCAACTTTGTTCTTAAGTTGAAGCCTTAAATTAAATTGTGGTTGAGTCCATCACAAAACTATTCATAAATTCAACACCAAACAAATCACAAGTCTATTCCATGGCTAACAGGTGAACAACTTGGTCACAGTTCATTTAATAGTTTGCGACTTAACAACTTGTGACCGGCTAGTTATGATTTTGTTTCGAATGTTTTCTAAAAAATAAAACTATTTCTAAGAAATAACACTATTTCACCAGAAATGTCAATGCACCCCAAATTTGTAGCATGACCCACAAGCTTGTGTTTTTATCAGGTCTTGCATTGAAATAATGATGTACTCAAAGGCCATTTGGCTAACTTTCAATACTGCTTTGTATTATCATTACTTCATATTGACAGTACATCAGACAAAAAAGACAGATCTTTAAGCCAGGCAAGCCTCACGATAATAATTCGACCAAACAGTTCCGGTAGTTTACGAACAGTGCATTTCCCTGTGACGTTCATTTGAAATTTTGTGCA